TTTTTTACACTACCATTGAGAAATGTTAACCAAACTATGTTACAGACTTTATATTAAGACCCTAAAGAATCATATGAACTTGTGGAAAATGGGCATCCTATGACCCCTTTAAGAGTGGAGGTCTCAGCATAACGACTCCCTAAAGCAGGGGTGCCCAAACTCGGTCCTGGATGGCCGATGTCCTGCAGAGTTTAGATCCAACCCCAATTAGACACACCTGAACCAGCTAATCAAGCTCTTACTAGGCATACTATAAACTTCCTGGCAGGTGTGTTGCGGCAAGTTGGAGCTAAACTCTGCAGGACATCGGCCCTCCAGTAAAATTGAACACAACAGAAGTTAGCATGAACACCTCAAAACACATACCTCAGTACATACAGTAAAATATGTTATAAAATATAATCAAACACTTACTTGTCGAGAGTGACGTCTCCCCCATCCAAAAACATCTCCTCCGCTATCGAGTCAACCGATGAAACATCGCTCTCTTCTTCAGTAATATCATCCTCCGACCCATCACTGTCACGCCGAGTGCATTGCTCCACAACTTTTTCAAGTGAAAAGTTTGTTTTCATCATTCTCTTCGCCATTTTTCACCTGTCAAACTCTCTCCAAGTTCCAACTCTCTCTAAACTGTCTTTGAGCACGGACGAATGCGTCACTGTCACTTTGCGCACGGACACACGAGTCACTGTCATACTTTGCGCACGGAGCTATGTGTTGACAGGTTGAACCGTCCCGCTAAAGCTGCATATTAATTTAATTGGATCAGATAAGACCGTCATTTGCAAACTCTGATGCAACTGGATCGACCTACTGTCAATTAAATAGAGGGCGGCACCATCCTTCATCCTGGGCTCTCTTTGGCTATCGCTGCCTGTTGAAACCTCTTAGATGCAGCTATTGGTTCAAATGAGGTGTCAATCAAAAGGGAAGAGGTCAGCGGCCATTTTGACATCAATAAATCCATACTGTTTACATGTGAAAACAAGCTATACTTCAGAATGCGCAGAATATTTGATTGCTCTATCAGCTAATTTGAAATGATACTACTATGTTCCTTGGATGTTTATTGACATATAAATGTGTTATGGACTAAATATTTCACTGCATTGGATTGACTGGACCCTTTATAGTGTAACTACACCATTTTTGTTGGAATGTTTTGGATCAGTGGACTATCAGGAGGCTTCATAGGTGAGTTCCTTCAGTTTTGTTATTGTTTATTTGGTTGTTGGTGGTCTGACAAAGACATTGATTGTACCTGCTGTGTTGATTGTATCTTAAAATGCATCGTCTGAATCACAAGAATCTCAGCTTTCCAAAGATATGTGACATGTTCAGCTTTTTGTTTATTTGAGTTTTTGTATTTCACGACTTTAACCTCTAACACACGCAGTGTACTGCCGACACCAGTAGTGTACATACTAACCATGCTCCTAACTGCCGAACAGAGCTCTAGGGAGCAAGCACTCAGCATAACAACCATCTAAATCGAGGGGAGTGCAATCATCCACCCTTATGGGTCAGCGTACTCAGTACAAAGACCCTCAAGTGAGGGGAGTAATCGAAAGCTCGACCTGAAGAGCGACTAATCAAGGAGGCCCACAAGAGCCTAACAACCTAAAACAGCCACAGAGCTCTGTTGAGAGATTACTAGGAACTGTGATCTAAGCATAGTGACCCTTAAAGGGAGGGGTGCTACCAGGCTCAAGAACAGCTGATCAGGGAGGTTCACAGAGAGCCTTACAACCAGAAATAATTGCAAAACAAAAAACTCTCTAGGCGAGAGGAGCAGAAACCATTGCTCAACCTAAATACATGTACCTTGGCTGAGAGGATGAGGAGGCTCAGAGGAGGCTCAAACAAGAGTCTAACAACTCAAAAGACTTGCTATTACACCAATTCAGGAGCCACCTTCACCAATAATGTAGATATCAGAGGTTTTCGGCATTTGAACTACAATCAATATCTCACATTATACACAGTTCCTATTCTGTAAAATAAATAGAAACAAAAAGGAATTCTGAAAGAGAAAGCACTCCCCATCAGATTCCTTTCATGCCCCGCCTACAATCCCCGTGATCGGTCTGACTAACTGCCTCGGCAGCCACGAGACCCGAAACGTGGGTGAAAGGTGCTCAGTTCTCAAAGAGAATCAAGCATACAAGGCATTCTCAACGCGATCACATCTCGCAGAGTGGCTATATCTCCTTCGAGAGCCAAAAAACACACTGTTCAAACACTAAGTTCCCTCAAGAATCAGGCAAGAACAGAAACCTCCGCGAATGGATTGCATTAAGCTTGTTCAACTCCTTCGAGATGCGAACACGCTTGTGCAAACGCTGACAAAAACTCGAGTACAGACCTCTGCTCTAGTACTTCTGCGAATGCAAACAGTGAGCGCATCCTTCTCTCTCGTGAGTCAAATGCATGTGCTTCCGTACGCAAGGTTTGAAGACAAAGGAGAGGATGACATATTCCACAGGTGCTCTTTTATACCCGCAGTCGCTTTATTGTTTACGTCATAGGCTGCTGCCTGCCAAAGTCAAGTTCATTGTCGTTTTTTTTTATTCATGCTTCATGACACCGGTCACGCTGAAGGCGTTCCCCTAGTGCCCTCTAAAGGACGCAGCGTTGAGTTCCCTTTCAAAAGGAAACATTATATTTCACACACTTTAAGCTATTTTATTTTTCAAATGTAATCGGATTAGTCCAACGAATCGAATCGTTCAGTTTGTAATGCGTACTGAACTGAAAGCCTCGTACCGAAGGGTTCAATATGAATACGTATATATATATATATATATATATATGTATGTCACAACTTGCCCGCCACCTCCTCCTGTGGAGTCAGAAGCATCTGAGGTCCCATCGTGCCATCCACATCCCGGGAGTGTTCAATCGGGCAGCCGACGAGCTGTCTCGAGTAGCACTTCCAGGAGAGAGGAGACTCAACCCCCAGGCAGTTCAGCTGATCTGGAGACGGTTCGGAGTTGCTCCGGTAGACCTGTTTGCAGCGTCCATGTGGCCGCGATTGCTGCGTATCACGACCCCGTGGAAGGGAAATCGGTAGGGAGGCATGATTTGGTCATCAGGTTCCTTAGGGGGGCGAGAAGGTTAAATCCTCCCCGCCCCCCTCTATACCCTCTTGGGTATATATTTTTAATATATAAAAATATTATAATATTTAATTTAATATATAATATATTTTTACAGCTCCTCTCTCAGGAGCTCTGCTGAGAACAGGTCGATTTTCGCCTGTCTAATTAATATGTCAAAAAGGCTTGCATTTGCAGCGCACACTTCTTATCAGAAAAAGGTTCAATAAAGTATTTTCTTTTGTTGTTATGGGCGCGTCTCAGATTTCTTGCCATATGTCTATGTTTCTTGCATCTCACGACTACAGTGGGGGAAAAAAGTATTTAGTTAGCCACCAATTGTGCAAGTTCTCCCACTTAAAAAGATGAGAGAGGCCTGTAATTTTCATCATAGGTATACCTCAACTATGAGAGACAAAATGAGAAAAAAAATCCAGAAAATTACATTGTAGGAGTTTTAAAGAATTTATTTGCAAATTATGGTGGAAAATAAGTATTTGGTCAATAACAAAATTTCATCTCAATACTTTGTTATATACCCTTTGTTGGCAATGACAGAGGTCAAACGTTTTCTGTAAGTCTTCACACACTGTTGCTGGTATTTTGGCCCATTCCTCCATGCAGATCTCCTCTAGAGCAGTAATGTTTTGGGGCTGTCGCTGGGCAACACGGATTTTCAACTCCCTCCAACAATACCAAAGTTAATTTGACCTAATATGGCTTATTTTCTTAGTTCAACCAAATAAATAATCTATTTATTTAAATTGGAAATAATTATTTTATTTCAAATGTTTCAGTTATGTTTTGATCGACAACTTTTTAATTCCCATTAAAATTCATTTCTAAACTCAAAAAAATAATTCAGTGGATTTGTAAATGTCAATAATAAATAACTATGCTACCTTAATACAATCTCTGAGTCAATGCAAAAAGATACCTCAAAAAATTAAGTTAAGTTAAATGAACATAAACTTTGGTACTGAAAACTTCATCTTACTTTCATAAAGTTTTTCAATTTAACTTTGATTTATCTATTTTCAATAACGCAGTTGAGTGAAAAAATAAATAAATAAATAAATACAGTGAACTTTGGTACTGAAAACTTAAAGTACACAGGTTCACCTTATTTTCATAAATATATTCCAAATAAACTTTATAAAGTTTGAGCTTATAAGCTCAAAGAACTTTAAATGTGTTGAATCAGTGCAAAAAACCCAAAAAACAAGAAAGAACAAAACCTCAAAAAGTTAAATTGTGAACCGTTTTTTTCCCCCTCTTTTTCTTCTTTCCTTTCCTTTCCTTTTTTTCTACAGTAAGTTACCCATTAGGACTTTTAGTACAATGAAGTAAAAAAATGTTTGATTGAATTGATTCTCTTTCATATTCGCCGTGTTCTTTGTAAATATATTCTGGTATGTTAAACAAAGTCTCATTGCACAGGGTGGGTGTCTGATGCTAAAAACTGCAATGATACAGAAAATGCTGCAGCTTATGACGCACTTTTTGAACATCTTGGCTTGGACAAGAATGACAATCAAAAGCGGCCCTTGTATTATGGGGATGCTACCCATGTTTTTGTGGAACTATATGTGACCTCTATCATAGATGTGGTGAGTTCAACATGATTTACCTTCTCATTCGGGTCGTTATGGAATATCAAACAGTAGTTTCATCAACACTCTTTTTTTAATTAATTATTTATTTATTTTTATCTACAGAATGAAAAAGCCCAAAGCCTCACGATACAGGTCAAAATGATAACTGTAAGTCTTTTAAAACACTATTTCACTTTTATTTCACAAAGTTTGAATCATTTTACAAAACTTCATGCGTTATAAGAGTTCATATTTGATTTTTAAGCATCTTGTTCTTGTAATCACTGTGAACTTATAACTTTGCAGGCTTGGATAAATATAAAGATGGATTGGAACAGCCATGAATTTTGTGGAATGAATACATTTTCAGCCCGGAAAGACATGGTTTGGACTCCAGACATTGTTATAGCAGAAAGGTATACAAATGACTTTGACAAAACTAGTTGTTTTATTTTAGGCATTTTTTTGCCACTTTTTTTTAACAATCACTAGGGCTTATTTCTCAATAATTGGGTGAGCACAGTGAACACAACAGCAGTCTTAAGGGTTAAACTGTGAATAATTTTTCATTGCTTTGGCACAAAATACATTCAATCACTACCTCTTTGAAATTAAATGATTACAGGCCAATTTGCACATATTCACATACTTTTTCCAAAAACTGTTAAACTTAGGCTGAAACCCTAAAAGGAAACCCTACAAAACTGAATAAGACAGCAATTCTGAATAAGCAACAGTTCTGCAGTAATACCATATTGCAAATCTAAAAGATGAATTACTATAAAAACAACTTGATGTAGCCAAACCCCTACACAGCTGTTAGTCTCTCAAAATGCATTACATTACTGTAATGTAAACATGGACCATGTATGCAACATATATTGCAGTGAATTCTAATAGTGGAGAGATTACATTATACAGAAGAATACACTGTAACATTGAAGAAAACACTGTATAATGTTACATGTTGTTAGTGTATAATGTAACCTTGTCATTCAGGGGATTGTTTTATGAGTGACAGTGTGTTTTGCTTGTGTTATGGAAGAATGAATTGATTAGATACATGTATGAAGTTATGTTTAGTGCATTTTAAATGTGAAAATTACTGCTGTGCCTAGCTAAAAGTGAGTAAGGAGAACTGTGAAGATTTTTGAAAAAGTGACTTAAGTATTGAGGGGTACTAATGATTGTAAAAAACAAAATAATAAATAATAGTGATAATAATATGATAAACAAGATTTTATTTATAAAACTTATGAACATTTATCTGTTATTCTTGTCACACTGACAACTGTTTCAGTGTATTTAAATGCTTGAAATGACTGCAATTATTAAACATGTAAAAGCATTATACCATGTTTGTGAATGTTATTAATGAAGTTATGTCACGTATATAATGGAAGTGCTTATATACTGTAATAGAGTAGGCCATTTAGTAGGCCAAAACCCAGAAATTAGTTAGCATTTTAGCACATTGGTTGACGGTTGCTAGAGTGGCTAAATGGGACTACAAAGTTTGACATTAACCATTATCACACTGAACAGAAAAGCTCTCGCTTTCACAGTCTCGTGTTTATAATTGTGCTCTTGCAAACTGTTCTAACTGTGTCAAAGACACATCCTAGGATGTGCTGGAACACATCTTCAGTGATGTTTCTAAGGTCATCGGGTGTTTTGGGTCTTTCAACATCATACACCCTCGCCCAGGTGACCCTGCCAGGATTGATCAGACCCTTGCTTGTGTCCCAGCAGCACTGGCCCACGGATCACTCCTCTTATCTGGACAGCCATCATGCAGCCTCCATGTTGGACTTGATGGCTTTCCTCTTTGCAGTCCCAGTAATGCCAAGCAGTGTGTAATCCTTAGACAGTGACCAGCCAGCAAAGCCCCACTTTGGTTCGCAGCATGCCTTCTAGCCTGCCCTTCTGCACTTCTCCACCACCTCCTGATACTTGGACCTCTTCTGATCATTCACCTCTTCAACTTTGATGTCAACTTCATGACTTTGATGTCATACAACGGTTGGTCTGCGCAGCGGCGATTCATCTCGAACAAGCCTGGTGTGTTTGGCGCTGCTGCGCTAGTGTTGCTGGGAAAGATGAGACGCATTCAGTGGCATAAGACCTGGCTCTCTGGTGGCTCTCTAGCCCGTGGAACGGCAAACCGGTTCTTAGAAGGCTCGCCAGTCGAACCAACTCCGAGCTGGCAATAGCACTAGCTCTTAAATAAAACCTGGTTCATGCTGGTGGAAAAGGGGTATGCGATGGACTTCAGCACCTGATCATGCCACCAGCAGTAGCAGCCCTTCCCCAGGGCTGTTGGGCAGCTGTTTAAGATGTGCCCTCCCAGGGCTTAGATGACATGCTGGTGAATTACTCTTTCCCCAGATGTGAAGATTCGCTGGGCTACGAAGAATAGACCTCTTGGACCAAAAACTTGATCTGCTGGAGATCTGCCTGCTAAATCCCCTCCTCCGAGACTAGCTGGTGGTGGTCTAAATGGGCTTTATTATAGTGGGGTTGTGGGTTGGCACCTAACCCTGCCCAGCCTGTAGTTACCGTGCCCACCAAAGTCCTGTGTCTGAGCCAGGACTCAGCAATTTCCAGGCCTTCCCGTGTTCTCCACTTCCTGCATGTCTGCACTGTGATGCATGCCGATGCCACCCTTGAGTCCTTAGAGCCCCAATAGAGTAGCACCTCTCTGGTGCAAAAGACCTTGAACTTCTCTTCTAGGTTGCTGAATAGGAGCGATAGCTTATTTCTCCTTTCATAGAGTGCTGGTGCATGGCAGTCCCAACCACCTGTTGACGTGGTTACTTCATACACCAGAATAGGCCAGGAGACTCAAGGTACGATGCCATGTTGGTATATCCAGTCTTTAAATTGGCCAGACTTTTTGACTGTGGTGAGCCAAGATTCCAGCTTCCTGATAGTGGTTTGAATGGCCGTTGCATCTGTGAGGTTGCATTACAAAGAAAACACAGATAATAAAAAATAAAGATATGTGAATAAAATACACGTGTGTATGTGTATATATGTATATATTATCGAAGTAGGGGAGAACATTTAACTGTTCATTAAGTAGATTGCCTGGGGAAAGAAACTTTTTTTGTGCCTGGCAGTCCAGGTGCTCAGTGCTCTGAGCCCTTTTTCTCACTCTGGATATATACAGTTCTTAAAGAGGGGGCAGGGGAGCATCAATAATCCTTTCTTCTGATATCTGATTTTGTAGCTGAGCCAAATCAGGCAGTTATTGAAGTGCACAAGACATACTCAATGACGGCTGAGTAGAATTGGGTGAGCAACTCCTGTGGCAGGTTGAACTTCCTCAGCTGGAAGAGGAAGTACAATCTCTGTTGGGCCATTTTAACAATGGAGTCAATGTGATTGTCCCACTTCAGGTTCTCAGAGATGCCCAGGAATCTGAATGACTATACTGCAGCCAAAGTGTTGTTCATGATGGTGAGTGGGGGGAGTGCTGGGGGGTTTCTCCTATCTCCACTGTTTTGCTCCAGGTTGTTAAGAGTGCACCTGACAGCCCGCTGCTCAACCTCACTTATATATGCAAACTTATCATCGTCTTGGATGAGGCCGATGATTGTAGTGTCACCTGCAAAGTTAATTGCAGTCATTGGTGTAGAGGGGGAAGAGCAGTGGGGAGAGAACGTATCCCTGAGGGGCACCAGTGCTAATGGTCTTTTTTCCCTTATAATTTCAAATGAGTATTCAACATTTTGTCATATATCAAACCATTATTTCTGCTTTTGTAACTGCAGGTTAAATGCATTCATGTCCTGCATTAAACAGTGTGTAAAAACATCTAAATGCCACTTCCGATGAGGCTTCTGTGTTTCCTCTGCATTGAAAAAATTAATTTTGCTGATACTGATTTAATTTGCCTGGTAACAGCCCAAATGTCTTATTATTCTAAATAACTGATTCCTTTAATTAAAAACAACTAGTTTGAGATTTATAGGCCTATCCCAGGGGTTTCAAGCTCAGTTCCTGGAGGGCAGAAGCCCTGCAGAGTTTAGTTCCAACCCTGCTCCAACACACATACCATGTAATTTTCAAATAAACCTAAATTATTAGATTAGCTGGATCAGATGTGTTTAATTAGGGTTATATCTAAACTGTGCAGGGCTGTAGCCCTCCAGAAACTGAGTTTGACACCCTTGGTCTATCCCATTTTTGCCTCCCTCCCACTATTAAAATGTAACCAATAATTCTTACTTTAAGAATTTAATTTTAAATGAGCTATTTTTACTTTCACTTCAGTAGATTTTTAGACTGGTACTTTTGCTTGTACTTAAGTAAAATTTCATTAATGTAATGGTACTTTTACTTGAGTAGAATATTTTCGTACTCTTTCCACCTCTGATGATATGCATCTTCTATTGTGGTGTAACAGTGGTCCAGTATATTATAGTCTCTTGTAGGACATGTAACATGCTGTATGTATTTTGGCAGTTCACTGGAGAGACTTGCTTTATTAAAGTCACCAAGAATGATTATAATAGAGTCCGGGTGTTGTTGTTCTGTGTCTGTGATCTCATCAGCCAGCCGTTGTAACGCTGCATTCACACACTCTTGCGGAGAAATGTAAACACGCTTGCACATCTTAAAATGCTTGAACAGCGCTGCTGCTCCGCTGACTACAATGTTCAGCAAAATGTCCAAGTAATCAAAAACCGGTAGAAGATTGTGTGATGTGTACTGCCGAATGTTCAGCAGTTCATCCCTGGTAAAACTTGTGAAAACAACAGACAGGAAAAACTAACAAAAAAATTAAAACAACTGGAGAGCCCCACAAACGAGGTGGCCATACCTCGGCCATCTTGGAGTAGATTACAATCCCACCAGGGTCAGAAATTAACTTTTCCATTAAGGGGCAATTTTTGCAATTTTCTGCTTTTTTGGGTAACGGCTTGTCATATATTCTGGCTCTGGTTTCACAGACAAACATGTCGGTCCATGATGTTAGTCTAGTCTAGCGCAAGTTATGCAAAAACTCCCATTATAATTCAATTCAATTCAATTCAAGTTTATTTGTATAGCGCTTTTCACGATACAAATCGTTGCAAAGCAACTTTACAGCAAATTAAGTTTCTACAATATTTAGTGGTTGTCACAGTGTTGGTTGTGGTGCCCTGGACTGGCCACTTGAGGGCGCTCTGTCTGTTCTATGTTGTATGTGTTAAACTCCATTTCCCATAGTCCCCTGCTTATTAATTCTGTTCTGATCAGTAGCACCTGTTATCATTTACTCATTATCCCAGCTATATATACCATGCTCACTCTGTCTGTCATTGCGATTTTGGTGGCATTTTTGCCATGCGCCCCCATTAATTTCCAACCCTGAATCCCACCAAACTTGAAGCGGAATTTGTCTACTACTTTCCCCCTTTTCAGCACCATGGATCTGGACTTGGCAGGCTTAAAACTTATCCTTGCCTGGTATATGACTTTTTCCAGGCCCTGGAGTATCCACAGTGAAATCCACCATGGGAGTTGGTACATCCAACAGAGCTCTGAGGGGCTTAGCACTTGCTCCCTTTTAGGCTAACTCAGGGTGTTGTGCGGGTAACAATCTACTTCCTCCTTGGAACAAGTTAGATGCCCACTTTGCTTCTGCTCCAAAAGCTGTTTTGTGAACCTGAAGTGACTGGCCATAAACGCGGCTTGTTTCCTTGCTCTTTCTCCACCTTCTGTCCCACTCTGTTCTGTTCTGTTCTGTTCTGTTCAGATGATGCCAATCCTTCCTAAAGCTATACCGGAGCTTGACTAGTGGTGGTTTCTCCTAAGTTTCAACCTTGAACTGTCTTGCCCAAAATGCAGAGCTCTTTGTATTTTGGTCTGCTAGTCTTGCACTCTTCAATGCCAAACCTCTCTGTTGCAAAATTGACAATGATGGTGGTCACCAGCTCAAGCCATTTATCTGCATCTCCCTTTGCTGTGGTGTTAATGATTCTTGCCACATCTTAGTTGAACTGGTGCCATGCTCTATACTGGTTTGCCGCAGGCCACTTGATCAGATGATTCTGAACTACTTTACCTGGAGCCAAAGAGTTTTGCGCTTGGAGTTTCTGGGCACTGTGGGGTGTCTCCAGGCTGGGCTCCTCTTGCGTCTCACCAGAAGTAATGTTGCACTGTGCTTATCTGCACCATGCATTGCATTTTGCCCTGATGGATTTTAAAGCCACATTCATTCTTTAGTCATTCATTCCTGCATCAAATGTAAGTTTAAAACTTAAAAGCTTAGTTTAAAACTTGTTTATGATTTCTCATTTAGGAATTAATAAGGCAATCCATGTAATATGCACATTGATATGGAGTAAAGGAGGGTTCACTTATCTTAGATGTTGATTTCAGATGCTTTCTGAAAGCGTGCTGCAAACTGCTACAGCAAACACTGGTCAAGTATTTGAATGTTGAGCAGCAGGCTCATTGGATGTTAATGCAACAGAAATCAAGCACCATGTAGATAACAATGTGATTACTAGTAGATTGAGTTAAGGACCTATCAGCTTAGAGTTTCATGACAGAGCTTTTTGTATTTCAGTAGTCTGTACAGGTTACTTTGATTTGTTTTGTGTACCTGTTGTCTCCAATCATCAATGTTTTGTTTTGTCCATTTAGCATCAAGACAGATTTTGGAACAAAGGAGTCTCCATATGTGCAGTTCTACAGTTATGCCTTTACAGTCTTGTCGGACATTTTAGTTCTGACTACAGCCTGTAAGATGGACCTGCACAAGTTTCCATTCGACATCCACAGCTGCAATCTGACGCTTCAATCTTCAGCATATTCAAGTACATCAGAAATCCATGAATCAGGGTTGACAAACAAACATGGTTACTTCTAATAAACTGTTTGAGATCATATAAATTAATATAATAATTGTGTCTGTTCCCACAGTTGAGGAGCTTAAAGTTCTAACATTTGCAGATTCAGAGTGGGTAACACACGAGTCGAAGCAGACCTTTCAGGCCCAGGGAGAGTGGGAGCTCCTCAGTATAAATATGGTTAAGTCTAATATTTCTGTGGGATATGAATGGGATATGAAGGATCAGCTGATATATCAGGTACAGTGCACAAGGTATGTAGTGTAAAACAATTTTAAATGTATAAATAAAATGGTAAAAACCACAACCAAATCATTGACCAAAGGGCTGGGTCGACAATATTGATGTAAAATGTTTTAATCAATCTTCATTTTGATAAATTGAGATGTCTTAGTCTGTGCTGTTTTCATATAATGCGTGAACAAACATTCACTAAACATTATTTGTAGTGAATTACATGTTCATTATAATTTTACTTATATATTTTAACCTTCTGTCTTCATTATTTAATGCATGGTTAAATAAACCTGCATTTTTTTTATTACAGCCACTGTTTACATGTTTATATTTTCAAACAACCTTTGAAAATGCCCCTTACACTCAACACACCCTTGCAAGTATTCTTATCTTTACAATATCTTACTATTTTATCTGGGGATGTGGCAAAGACTTAAGTTTAGCTTACCTGTCGAGAAAAAAACTCTGGCAACCCAGCCAGCAAACTCATGTGGGGCCCAGATGGGTGGCACCTGGGCTATCTAACTGGGACCCAACCAGTTTTGTCCTCAGTTTCCATGAGGGCCCCACATGAGTCAGCCCAGATTAATTAATGAAATGAAAACTGCTCAGTATGCATACAATGAAGTGCTAAAAATAAGACTGAAGCAGCATTGCAGTTCATTAGATAATTAAGTGATTAATCGAGTATTGATTGAGCATTGGTGACGAATGCCTGCTCAAGAAAAAAAGAGATGAGAAACACAACCACTATTGACTTCCAGCCACAGCCTGCAAAAAACTGCAAATAAAATACATTAAAGGGGTCATATGATGCGATTTAAATTTTTCCTTTCTCTTTGGAGTGTTACAAGCTCTTGGTGCATAAAGAAGACCTGTAAAGTTGCAAAGACTAAAGTCTCAAATCCAAAGAGATATTCTTTATAAAAGTTAAGAGTTAACCACGGCAAATTGCAGAGGCAAATTGATGTTTGTTCACATGTGTTACAATCGTGTAGTGCATATTATCAAAGATGTGATCTGAGAAAAGCGCTGATGCGTCGCTGATGCCTGTGAGATATTTAGCATGCTAAATATCTGGACCTGTCAGCAACTCAGAGTCCTGGGGGGTATTCCAGAAAGTAGGGTATTCTATCTAGTTGTATTGATATATATTAATTATAAAGCATGATTATAAAAAGGTAATGTTTATATATTTAATTCTAATATGTTTATTGTCATCTCACACATCATGGATCTACTGTAACGTAGCTGACAAGACGTGAGACGTGCGGATCCATAAGCAAGCTTTATTTAAAGCAGAGGAGGTCAGAAACACAGGCAGGGTCGAACAAGGGCAAACAGGTATATGGCGGGCAAGACACAAGAATAATCCTAGGGCTAGCGAAGTTCCATGAACGGCAAACAGAATCAAGAACGGCAAACAGAATCAAAAGGGGCAAGACTAAAGGGAGAAATCCAGGAAAACAGGCGAAGATCAAAACTGAGAAAACAGACAAGGCAAGGCAAAACTAGGCTAGGAGGCTAACCAGGGCTCTGTAGTGTAGCTATCAAACGATAAGTGCTAAACAATACTCGGCAGCGGGAAGGGATAAGAGTGAGTGTTAAATAGTGTGTGAGTGATATGAAACAGCTGGGTGCAATCAGTGCTGTGTGCAATTAGTGAACCAGCTGTGTGCAATCAGTGCTGTGTGCAATCAGTGCAATAAATGATGGTATATGTAGTTTAGGATGATATGCAACAGTGTGTAGTGCGAGAGTCAATGAAAATGGAAAGGGTGACCTCTGATGGCTAGTAGACGGAAGTTCATGGACCGGATTCGTGACAGAGCTCCCCCCCAAGGAGCGGCTTCCAGACGCCCAAAACACTTTACGATTCCGGAGGGCGGTGGAGTGGAGGTGGAACAGGGGGAGGGATGGAGGGCCAGGTCCACATGGAAGTAGAGAGACCGGGAACTGAGGCAGAACCAGCGGAGTAGAGAGCCAGGGCGAAGCCGACCGTACAGATGGAGCAGAGAACCACCAGAGCCAGACAGCAGACCACGGCGGAGCAGAGGACCACCAGAGCCAGACAGGCCACCACGGCGGAGCAAAAGGAACAGGGAACCAACCTGGGGAACCACACCGATCAGGAGACCATGGCA